CAAGTCCAACTCAATGTCTGCCTTCTATGAGAAGCCTTCCCTGATCCTCTTTTCGTGTCAGTGTCTTCCCTCCAGTGATGATTTCCAACCGTTTGTACAGAATTCTCTTTCCCATTAGCTACGGGCTCCTTGAGGGCAGGAATTCTCAGTCGCCTTTCTCTGTACACTTGCTGTTTGTCCCTCACTCTCAAAGAGGATCATGACATCAGAGAGGTGACACCATGACATGCAGGTGAGGCAGGGCCGTGCAAAGTCCCCACCCAGCCTCACTCTCTGCTCTGTAGCCATCTGGGTGCAGTGGCCAGATACAGATCAGGACGACTGGAGATGGCCCAGGATGCAGTGGGAACCTTGGCCTTTTTAAGCTAAGGTCTTTGACAGGTCTCAGTCTGACTGAGGCAATGCCCAAATCAGTGGTTAAGGCTAGGTAACAAATGAGGCAGAGAATGGCCTCTTTTAACTAGCCAAGGAAAAAAAAATCAATCTGCAGAAGGAAGACTCCCAGGGTTTCTGTGCAAAATAGAAACAATTGCTATTTACATTCATTCGGAGACGATCAGTGCCCAAACAATGACCAAGTAGAGTTTGGCCTGGGACCTACTGTTGGCCAATCAATGAGAGCCAATACAGGCTCTTAGCATAGTGCCTGGCACATAGCAGGTGCTTAATAACTTTTTGTGGACCTGGTTTTAACAACCAGTGAAGGCTATTATCGTGTCTACAACTTCTCGGGGCTCTGAGAGAGGCAGAGATCTGCACTCAGAGCCATCATACAGGCAATACCATAATGGGGGGGGACCCTCCTGGAAGCCGCCTAGATGCCCTGCAAGAGGGGAAGCTGGAATCAGCCGTGATAACATCAGTGTCACAGGATATAAGAATGCATTTAGGAACGATAAGCAGGAGAAATATAAGGAAATAAGGAAAGACCTTTATTAAATAACGCAAGGCAAAAACAAATGGCAAACCAGAACACAGTAATTACGGTCAAATGAGAGGAAGACGGCAAGTGACTGCAGGGGCAAACAAGCATCTTGTCAGAGACTTGGGAACAACTGAGAAGCTGTTAGGACATTTTATGGGCCACATTTCATTGACATGACGGAAACGGCTGCAAACAACTTATAACTGAGAGCGCTCAGAATCAATATTTCTAATGTACATGTGTGTATATGTCTAATACACACATATGAAAGTTCTACACGCACACACACACACACACACACACACACACACACACACACACACACACACACACACACACACACATCCCATCAGCATCGCCAACTGGAAACTGAATTTGCAGTCATGACCCACTGGAGTAGCTACCAACCGATTTTGCCCAGAAACAGACAAGCGTGGATGTAGAGTGGCCGGCCATAAAAGCTCAGCTGCTCAGGGGCCAAGGCCAAGTGCAGCACAAGAGGCAGGCCGTCCTTCTCCAGTATCACACCAATGGGGCCCTTCACAGGGAGTCTCTGTTCATCCTTTTGGGGTGACTGCTGGAGGGGAAGTTTTCCCTTCTATCCAGCCTACACCGATCGGTCTCTCTCCAACCTCTGCCTACCTCACCACCTGTCTGGTGGACCTCACACTTACAACATTTGCCCCAAAGTCCTCGACCGCCCCCGGCAATGACAGGGGTCATTATAATGGTGGGGTGCCACGGATTTGAGTCATGGTATTAGGCTGGGCCTCTCAACTGTGAAGGAAAGGAAAAGATTCCTCAGATTTTCCAAAAAGGGAAGAGAATGGAAACTGTCCACCAGAGAGCTATTACCCTGACAGGTTCCTGGGAAAATCCTTGAGGCTCTGCTGCAAAGTGCCAATCTGGCTTCATCCACAGCACAGCCGAGCAGGCTTGCCTCTCCCCCTTCCTGGAAGGCTACAGGTGGGCAGATTCAGAGAACACTCTGTGGGCCTGGCTATCGCCCAGGCAACGGAAAAAGGATGGCAAGATGGGAGCTGGAGGACAGCGTGACAACGCATCTGGCTCTGGGTCAAAGACTGGGATCCGAAGACCAGGCCTGGTGGTTCACGGTCTCCAACAGAGAGCCTTGGCAAGGCCAGCTTCCTCTCTGCTGGTCAAGACTCAAACAGGGATTCAGATAAAGGCAGAAAAGCCCAGCTTATCTATGTCACACACAGTAACAAACTGTGTATCACTTCCTACCTAGCCTGCAGAGAGCTTGCTTTCGTATATACTCATTTGCACGTTGTCTTCCCTGTGAGACTGTAAGCTCCTGGAAGGCAGGGACACACTCTTGCCTCTTTGTTTTTACCTCCAGCACTTCCCGAGATCCTGGACACACAAAGGGCATTTAACATCTGCTTATTAATTGATAGACTGACCTTGAAGACAGGGCTAAGAGGGTAGGAGCAATAGCCTGAGGTCACGTGACCCCTCCATTTGCTAGGGACACACCGAAATTCAACCACGGGCCTTGCCCATGAAATTCTAGTTTCATGCACACCCTTTGGCTTAGTCATGCCAGTACTAGGTCTGCATCCCAAAAGAGATAAAAACCAACGAGAAAAAGGACCCATGTGGACAAAAAGATTTATAGCAACTCATCTCTGGGGGCAAAGAAGTAGAAATTGAGGGGATGCCCATCCACTGGGGAATGGCTGACCAAGTTGTGTTCTGTGATTATGACGGAATACAATCGTGCCATAAGAAATGATGAGCAGGAGGCTCTCAGAAAGCCCCGGAAAGGCTACTATGGGCTGATGCAGAGTGAAATGTACTGTGTGCACACTAAGAGCAACGTGGTGAGATGACCAGCTGGGAACAACTTAGCTCTTCTCAGCAATACAACGATCCAAGACAACTCTGAAGGACTTGGGATAAAAAAAAGCCATCCATCCCCAGACAGAGGACTGATGGCTTGTTTGTTTGGTTTTTTTTTACTTTTTCTTGAGGTTTTTTTTTGTCTATGTTTTCTTTTACAACATGACTGGGGAAAACAAATTAATTTTAAAAAGATAAAAAAGTAAAAAATTCTAGTTTCAACGAGTGGTTTCGCACCTTCCTTCTACACCTGGTGATTCAGTTCACTGTATTAGAGGAAGCTATGATTTCCCTACACCCAGCACAGGCTCAGGAGCAGCCGAGGGCACTGTGGGGTGCAGCTACTTGCCCAGCGTCACCTAATCAGTAGATTCCCCAAAGACAATGGCAGTGGCACCTAAGCCCAGAGCAGAATCCTCAGCGAGGAATACTCCACAATGACCATCTGCAGACATCGCGCCCATCACGCCCAGCAAGCGCTCGACCAAAGCTCACGGCGCTCTGAGCACCTCCTGCACGCACCTGTTCAAAGCCCCCTGTCCTTCAGAGCTCATCGCCTTGCCCTGAGCCCAAAACCCCACAGGCGGAGTCCTCACCACAAAGGCATATCTGGAGAGCACGGAACCCAAACCTGAAGCCAGCATGGGGAGAATAGGAGTCTCCCCACCGACCTTCAGTGAAATTTCCAAAGGGACCCTCAGCAGGCCGGCTTGTTGGCTGGCCACACCACGTGATCAGTCTCTCAATCTCACCAGCGGAGAGGTCAGCAGGCTGAAAGCTCGCCTTGGTTTCTTTCTCTTTTCTTTAAAGGAGGGAGAAAGGGATAGATGCATTTAAGGAAGCACGGGGGTGAGTCCCTTCAAAGGCAGTCAGCAGGAAAGGGGAGAGGCCGTGGCCTGTGCCATTAATAAGGAGGGCACAGATGTTGAGGGGACACTCAGACAGGAGGCTTGCTTCTGCAAGCACCCAGCCCTGCCTGGCCAGCACAGGGCCTGACACACAGTAGGTGTTCAATTAATGCTAGAATCGGCACTGAAATAAACTCAAAACAGAGGGAATGGGGAGAACTGCTAAAATGATACTCAAGAAGAAAATCCACAAAGCCTCAGCTGAGGCAGACACTGGAGCCTGGGGCCTGGTCAAGGAGATGACACACCCTGGCCCCAGATCACAACAACCCGAGACATGACCCTCCCAGGGGCTCACACACCTAGTCAGTTTCTTTCTTCACTGGCAATCACGGTGGCACCAGCCTCACACGATGCCCACGCTGGAGGCAAGGACAGCAGGCTTGCGCGCACGCGCACACACACACACACACAAATGCGCATGTGCATATGCACACATACACAATGCACACGTGTGTACACACGCAGCACACACACGCACACGTGCACATGCACACATACACACGTGCATACACACGCACACACATACACGCACACATGCACATGCACACATGCACACATACACACGTGCGTACACACGCAGTACACATACACGCACATGCACACATACACACGTGCATACACACGCACGCACGCACACACACACACACACACACACACACACACACACACACACACGCCAAGCACGCCGGAGGCTTGTGTTTTCTGTTCAGATCACACAACCACAGTGACAAGAGCATTAAAGAGACTTTCCCCTCCCTGGCAGGCAGCCAGTCTACCTTTCTCAGCCGAGACCCGACCAGGGAAATGTGTGTACCCAGGCCTCCTTGTCAGTTCTTTTCATGGGGGGGGGTGATAGGGGAGGAGGAGAGAGAAAATGCTTTTAGAATGCATCAGGCCACAGAAGCCCTTCAGTCTAATGGGAAGAGCTCTGGATTCAAAGTCTGGGGAGCTGGGCCCATCCCAGGGCTGCCCTGCTTCCTAAAGACATCGCTGCACCTTTCTAAGACTCAATAAAACGAGGAAGTCAGATATTTTTTGGGTCTTCAGACCTATGAGCCAGAGTCCTCTTGGTCAGGGTTATCTGCCTATCTCCTCAGAGCATCCTTTTCCCAAGCCCAACTCTCTTCACTCAAGGACAAGGAGATGAAACAACACACAACCCTCCCCCTCCCCTGCCACACACACACACCAGTGCCTGTCCCAAGGGCCCGCCCCAGGAACCCCACAGGCGGTTCCCATCCTGGGTGGCGCGGGGCAGGGTGGACTGGGGGTGCGAGATGGGGCTGCTTCTCACTCACCTGGACTAGGCATGTGGTTCACTCTTGCTGGGTTCAGCAGTTCGACTGGCTGGTCTCGGCCAGAAAGTCCATCTGGAGAAAAGGAAGGAAGGAAAAGACAGTGTCATTATAAGCCAGTGGAGGCCCAAACACTTCTCGCTGCTAATGAGAAGTTCCATCAAACCCCACAGAAGCAAGCATCTGCCCAATGCCAAGTGAGGCTGAGGTGGCCGATCACCTTGATGGCTGGCTGGGGGGATGGGCAGACCTGTGAGGTGTTAGCCTGGAGCAGGGACTTCCAAGTGTGGAGAGTCTCCCCCCACCCGCCGAGAGGTAAAGAGAGGCAGCCATGGCCACACAGCCAGTAACATCAGAAGTGGCCAGCTCTCTAACCACTGAGCTGTTTGGCCTGGTTAGGACCATCAGGCTGCCCAGCCATGACCAACACGAAAGAAAGAACGATGGACTTGGAGATGAGGACCTGGTCTGATTCTTAGATCTGCCACTTATGATTTATGGAGACCTCCTAAGACCTCGGTTTCCTTGTCTGTAAAATGAAGGAACCGACCTAGATGGCTGATGATTCCTTTGGGCTCTAAACTTCCTGTCCTGTGAGCCACCCACTTTGTGCAAAAAGGGTCTGTGACCAGGCACCAAAAGCCAGAACGGCCATTCCCCCTCGCTCCATTTCACAACATGTCCAATGACAATACCACAGCGCTCTTAGAAAACCAGACAAATGAGGAAACTAGGATGTGACTGTGCAGTCAGCGTGGGGAAGGAGCCAGACCCACAGAGAGGCTCGGGGGGATTCCAAAGCACCTCCATGCTTAGCTGGGACTGGCCTCGCGGCTTCCAAGAAATACAGACCTGCTCCCAGCCTTGCACAGACAGACAGACAGACAGACGTGTCACCCAGCCCCGCCAAGAGTATACCAATGGCCGCCTCTGGAGGTGTCCCTGGAGGTCTTCAAGCACATGTGGGATGACTGAGAACCTTAGGGGCTCTGAAGACGAGATCCCTTTTGGATTAGAGTGGACACCCCATTCAGGTTGGGATTGGACTAGATGCCTCAGAGATGCCTCTGAGACTATCGCTAAGCAGATGACTTCCACCCAAGATGGTATCTCTGACCAGGCCCCAGGCCCATCAGAAGGAACCAGCAGTTGGAGCTGCTCTTGCTTTTCTGCTTCTCTCCAAGCTCTCCCGAGCACTGACCATTCTGGTCAGTGAGACTCACATTCTGGGCACATCCTGGCAGCTCCCAGACAAGCAGGTCCCAGCCAAGCAGCCTTGGGAAAGGCATGGTCTCAAAGGCCCGACTGTTCCCTCTACATCATGGGTGTCTCCCTTCCCTCCGAAGACACAAGCTCTGCAGATAAAAGTCCCTGACATCTGTGGTACGTTTTCAAGCTTGCCAAATGCTTCTCAGGCACCATCTCACTTGAGCCTCCGACATTTCCACTGCTCCGCATTAGATGGAGCACAGTCTCTTTGCTGGCAGACATCTGTCTAGATGGTGGGCAGGTGGGGTCTCATACCCCTGTAGGACCTGGTGGCCCGGGTTGAAGCGGAGAAGCCAACAACAGCCACAGCCAGGACAGCGTCCCAGCAGCCCCTGGAAAACTGCCCAGTGGCACGCTGGTAAACGTGGAAGAGAATCCATCCTCCTGCAGCAATTTGCTGATGTGGGAACATCTGCCCAGACCTGCCCAAGGGTCCAGCAGATACAGCTGGGCCTGGAGGCCCAAGGAGCCGAGTTCAAATCCTGCCACAGGCCCATATTGACTGTGTGACCCTGGGCATCACATCACTTCTCTGAGACTCATCTGCAAAATGAGGGGCATTAACATTGGCAACTGCCATGAGAAAACAGATGTGCAAATTATAAAGCCTTGTGAAATGTGAGTTATTGTGCTGTGTTCTCAGACAGCCTCTCCACTGGGGAGCTCCCAGACAGTAGGCCTTCCTACATGTTCTGTCCTATAATCCTCTGAGCCAACACAATGCACGGTTCACAGAAGGTGCTTAATAAGTGCTTGTGGGCTAGATGGTGTGATCTCTGCTGGTCCTGAGCAGCCTGAAGGGGTTTGCAGGCTAACAGCAGTCCACCTCTTAGGATCCAGCTCTAGAATCTTTTCAGTGCAAAGATCCAGAAGGCAGCATCTTGACACCACTGAAATGGGGCATCCCCCTCCCCTTCTTTTCCCCCGCCTGCCCCTCGCTCCCCCTTTCTATTGAGGTCTGCTTCTTTCTCTTCCCTATGTCCGAGTACAAGAACACAGGGACTTTCCTGGGAGGAGTGACCATGGCACACAATCGCTGGGCCGTCTCTGCTCATCTGTAACAAACACGAGAACCAGGCCCATCTGCGGCCACCTAGGTTGGGGGCAGACAGGCCTGGCGGAAACCTTGGGTTCCCAGCCAGGGCAGCCAGGCCATGCTTCCCAGGGGCCCTGAGTCATTCATTCATCGGGGAAAGCTGGCGAGGAGAGGGAAGAGCCTCAGGACTTCTGGCAGGGCCCAGGCCAGAGACCTTTGCAGTTAACCCTCGACGTGCTGAAGTATTCTCTGCACTCCCGTAGCCCAAAAAGACAGTGAGCTCCAGGTCACTGGCCGCATGCTTCCTCAGAGAGCTTTCCCCTGGAAAATTCCATTTAGTGGAATTCACCCATGACACTGGACATCTGTTAGGGGCCAAGGACAATGTCACCGCCCCTGCCCACAGGGAGCCTGAACTTTACTGAGGAGCATACAAACATATGGCTAAATAAGGAAACACAAAGTACAGAGATTTAGAACCAGACTCACGACTGCCCAGGTAGAAGGAGCTCTAACAATTCAGGTCAGCAATTAAAAACCTGAGAAAGTAGAAGAATAAATGGACCTTTCCTCAATAGAGTAAGGAGTATCTCTCCAAAGTGGGCAGCTAGGGGGGGCGCCATCATGCACAAATCCCTGGGCCTGGGGTCAGGAAGACCTGAGTTCAAATGTGGCGTTAGACACTTACCAGCTGTGTGACCTTGGGCAAGTCACTTCACCCTTGTGGCCTCTATCCATCAGAGAAGGAAATGGCAACTCAGCTAGTATCTTTGCCAAGAAAACCTCACGGGCAATATTGGAAAGGCATGGTCTCAAAGGCCCGACTGTCCCCTCTATCTCATGGGTGTCTCCCTTCCCTCCGAAGACCCAAGCTCTGCAGATAAAAGTCCCTGACACCTGTGGTACGTTTTCAAGCTTGCCAAATGCTTCTCAGGCATCTACAACAGTGGGGAGGCCGGGCCCATCAGCTGCAAGTAGACATGCATTAATGAAGCACCCACTGCCCGTCAGGCGCTGGAACCAAAGCAGACACAGAAATGACTGGACTAGAAGTACAAGCGACGTTCCAGAAAACGTAACAGGGAAAGGGGACGAGGAAGGAGGAGAGAGGCGTGTGTGCGTGTGCACACACACATGCACATACATATACACACACATATGTGCACACACGAACACGTGTAAACACAAAGCTGTGCATACTCTCTGATCCAGCAATCCCACTACGAGGTCTGTTTGCCAGAGATTAAAGAAAAAGGAAAAGGAGAAAGACATTGACAGCAGCTCTTCTTGTGATGTCAAAGAACTGGAAATCGAGGGATGCTCATCAACCACAGAATGGCTGAACAGGCTGTGGTATGCGATGGTGATGGAGTATAAGTGTGTTACAGGAAGTGATGACCAGGGCGCTCTCAGACAAACCTGGAGAAACTCACCTGAACTGATGCAAAGTGAAGTGAGCAGAACCAGGAGAACGGTGCACACAGAAACAGCAACATTGTACCAATGATCAACTGTGGATGACTTAGCTATTCTCAGCAACACAACGGGTCCAAGACAATCATGAAAAATCCTATCTCCAGAAAAAGAACTGATGGAGTCTCTTTATTTCTTTTCTTCCAACTTGTATCTTTTTTCCCCCTTTCTGTTCTATATTTAAATAGTATTTTATTTTTTTCCAGTTACATGTAAAGATAATTTTCCAACATTCATTTTTTGAAGGATTTTGAGTTTCAGATTTTTCTCCCTCCCTCTCTCCCCTCCCCAAGACAGCAAGCAATCTGATATAGGTTATACATGTGCAATCACGTAAAACATATTTCCTCATTAGTCATGTTGTGAAATAAGAAACAGAACAAAAAGAAAAAAAAAGATGCAAAAAAAAGTGAAAATGGTACACTCTGCATTCAGACTGAACTGATACATACTATTTTTTAAATTTTTACTGTTTTATTTTGTTTGTGCTTTCTTTTGCAACACGGCTAATCTGGAAATATGTACAACTGATATCAAATTCCTTATCTTCTCAAGGATTCTCAAGGAGGGGGGAGAATTTGGAACAAAAAAATTTTTAAGTGATTGTTCAAATAAGGTATAATTATTTTTACAAAGTAAATACAAAATAATTGGGATGAGGAGACTAGCTTATGGGGGAAACTAGGAGAGGGCTCACGTAGGGGGAATGTCTGAGTCATGCTTGAGGGGGGCAGCCAGGGAAAAGGCACAGGGACAGAAGGCCAAATCAGGAAGAGAGTTATGACCATCCTCGTTAGGATTTCATTCTATCACACTCAAGCATCATCCCTTAGCAAGAAGGCCTCTGACCTCCTGAAGGCTCCAACAACTTTGAGTCCCTCGGACAGCCTCTTCTAGGGATATCAGCCCAAGGCATCTTGGGAATTGGCTATACCCTGGTCCCCATCTGATAAAGGTCAGCAGCCCATAGAACAGGAGTGACAGGATTCAAGACTGAAGATGGAGGGGGCAGCTAGGTGGCACAATGGATAGAGCGCCAGCTCTGGAGTCAGGAGGACCTCAGTTCAAATCCTGCCTCAGACACTTGACACTTCCTAGATGCATGACCCTGGGCAGGTCACTTAACCCCTATTGCCACACACACACACACACACACACACACACACACACACACACGACTGAAGATGGAGAGCAAGAGGAAGTCATGAAGCTGCCAAAGGAGTCTCCTCTGCCCATTCCTCTTCTGGGCTCAGCCCAGCGACACAAGGATGGCCAGAAGAGCTATTGACAAAACAAA